GGGTGGTGAAGGGAGTTGCATAGAAAACAGCATCGGCATTAAAGAATCAGCAGAGTAATAGAGACAGTTTATAAAGACTGCCTTAAACACTTGTATAAATATGAATGGATGATACTGGTGATGCATCAATAATACCAATGATAAGTGGTGGTCAGATATAAGACAAGAGTGTGCCGGAGCTAACGCTATGTTTCATAGTGTTCATAGATATGTATAATGATACACACTTAGCTCAAAACATAGCAGTATTTTGACAAATGTACATCAAGTGTGAATTCAAGAAAATTTAGTGGTCAAGAAAGCAAGTAGTCAGCAAGTGTTAGGACAGACCAGAAACCTTTTTTCTTCTTAAATAATGTCTATTGAAAGTCCTTAATCAATATAAGTATAATAGTAATTAAAGTGGGGTCGATAAATAATCTTCAGATTATTTTTTTTTATATTGACTGATTCATTGTTCAGTTTGTAATATATCAGAAAAACAGCCCAAAATTAAGTCTTGAAATAATTTGTTTTGTCCAATCAGCAGTCCAAACCCAAATATATTCAATATAATAAACATATAAACCAGAGAAAAGCAGCAAACACCTTTGAGAAGCTGAAATCAGTGAATGTTTCATGTCAATAAAGTCTCTTTGAATTTGAATGTTTCACATTTTGCCTTGATAAATGACTTAAATTACTAACCACTTATCAAAATTTTAGGTCATCATTAAAAAAACAATAGAACAAAACAGAATAGAACAGAATTTAGGAACAGACAGTATCCAATAGTACACAATTACAGAGCAGATCTCTGAACTAATCCTATAAAACATATCATTGTTTAGTCAGTGAGGCTGCCTGAGTAATTACTGGAGGTTCAGATGCATCTGAACAACTAAAGCAACCTGGCACTGAAGATGGCATCATTTAAAACAACTGACACTGGCATACATCCATGCTCTGAGACACAGGCTGCCAGTGGCTTGAGGTGATGCCTGGCAGACTGCCACTTGTATTTTTTTTCTTGTCCAACTCTCATTTTTTGACCATCTCTCATCACCCCGCCCTTTGCCCTTCTCTTTCTCCAAACTCACACTTCATCTTTCTTTCTCTGCCTTGCCAAATTTCTCCTTTCTTCTCTATTCAATCTACGTCCTCTCATTCCCTGACACGTTTTTCTGTCTGTGCTTCCCTCTGTGGCTCATTTTCTCTTCAATCTTTTTCTTTCTTTCCAACCTCTTTCTCACTTCCCTCTCTCTTTCTCTCCCTCTTTGCAGCCGCCTGGTGCAGTGTGAAAAGGGACTGAGCATGAAGATATTCAACTACACGCCAAGACTCCTGGTCGCTCCCCACTTCCTCTTTGATTCCCCCTCCGTCCCTGAAACTTTTTCCTTCTGCATTTCACCCACTCTCACTCCCTCTCTTCTCCTTTCACTCCTCACATTCCTCAACTCTTTTTGTAAGTACATGTTTACACAGTACAAATGAATGGTGTCAACTGCAGTGAAAATTGAACAGTGCATTTTACAATGTGAGATTACTTAAACGCATTTGCATCTCACCACGGTAGTTTGCTGGCTCAAGATTTTGGATTATTTCATGTTCATGTTTCAAGTAGCTTTGAGCCACTGGTGGTGGAGTTTGTCATGTAGCAAGGACCCCGGGGTTGAGTTTTTCATGTAGCAGTAACTGTTTTTGGGTAGTGTATTTGGGAATATTTCATTTTATTTTTCCACACTTATTAAGATTGAATTCACTATAGAAAGCTCATCTATGTAGCTGTCATTTCATAGCAGCTGCTCATTCCAAATTTGTTCACATACCTGATTGTTCTAATAATTGCATTATTTTGTTTTGTAAATGAAATGCTTTGGACATTATTCTCACATCAGCCATTCTGAACTCACATCGACATGTTGAGTAAATGAGGAGTACAGACAACAGACCAAGTTGCCAGATTAGCTTGCAATCTCAGGAACAAACTGAATGCTTGAATTTAGCTTGAAGGTTAGCTAGCCCACTAGCTAGCTGTAAGAGACTATTGTCCCTAAGTAATTGAGTTTGGGTTGTGTCAAAAAAATTGTTACGGTGAAAAAAAACTAAAACATGAAGGCTTTCCAAGGAGTGAATGGGTTTTTAGAAATGAATAAGTATAAAATGTGTAGTTTTAGATTTTCTGCTCAGATGTGGACAAGAGCTAGCTAGAATCGCATGTCTTGGCTCAGAAACCTGATGTGTAAACTTGGTTCTTAATTTATATTTACTTTATAATGTACTTTATTTGTATACATTTTCAACTTGCAAACAAGAGTTTCACACAAGAACTTAATGACGTCCACCGCTGTTAGATTCTCATAGCTGGCTGTAGTAGGCTAACTACCATATTAGCCTTAATTTAAGCTAACCCTTATTTTGCGACCCCATTTTTTGGGGGGAGGGTGGGCAAAAACATTTTGAAGGTATAGGACCTTGAGACAAGGGAGGCAGATACATCTGACATATTTTAAATGTATTTAATTTAAAAAATCTAATTTCTCCAACATACCAATGAAAGAGTGACATAGCATTAGCTTGATACATTCCCCTATACACTCATGCTATCAGAAAAACATGGTTGTAACCTTAAGTTTTAAATGCCTAGTGACATGTGTTGTCCATGAATGTATGATGCTATTTTTCAAGTCTAATTTCGGGGTGGGAACTAAACATTATCTTATATACTAGAAGCCAGTATTGTTATACAAAAAATGAAAACCTTTATTCCTTCAGTTTCTCATTTATTTTATTGTGTGATTAGCTAGTTTCTGCATCCCAAGAACTTCACAATGGCTGCTGTGGGAGTAATGTCTATGAGGGTGTCTACGTATATAGCATGTGTTAAATTGAACACAGCAGACAATTGTCATGAGCAACAAAAAACCCACGCATATTCCGACACATACAGAAACATTTAGAGTTATATTTCTTTATGTAGCTTTTATTTTGTCACTGGGATTTAGAGTTGAATCTCTGAATAGACATCAGGGTAATTAAAGAGGTGAGATGAATCTATCGTTTTGCTGTCAAAGGATAAATTCTGACTTAGAAAAGAGTCTGCTGCTACCTTGAGACAAAAGAGACTAAGTAGTGAGGAAAAAGGCAGCGCCACTGTTCTCCATGCAGCTAAACATTGTTTTATTTCTGTCTGTGAAATCTTGTCTAAATTGGCGATGGGTAGCCTATATTAGCCGTGTAAGTCTAGTAGAGATTGTACATAATGCAAATGTTGTTCTGATTATTCTGATTATATTTGTATTTATTGACATCTTTTAGTGCTATGGTGCACATTTTTCCTCAGTGGAAGTGGCAGTAGCTTTATAGGTGCTGTATAGCTTCTCTTGACAGTTTCTTTGAATCAGAATACCTACCATCAGAAACAGATACAAACATCTGAATGACATTGAATATAAAGCCTTAAACATCACCACATGCTAGAGGAGGTTTTAAGGGTTTTCAAAAGATGGCTTTCCTTTTTTTGATGTGGTGTCAACTCCCAGTAAGCAGGGAATTACCCACTCGTGGTCTTTCAGTACAGGCCTCTTGGCATTAGACTACGCAACACCAGTCTAATATATTGACATAATACAGCTTCACATTTCAGCATTAGATTTCTGTACACCAGACTTATTCAGTTATCAACACATCACTGAAAAAACAACCTTGACTTCAAAATAAGACTTCACACCACTTAGCGTACTGTAGCTGATAGATCAACCACCTTAGCATCAATACTTCTAACACACAACGATGATGTATATTGCCACGATTGACCCCAACACTAAGTGCAAAAAAACTAAGGGAAAGAAGGGTCTCACAACCTATAACTCAACAGGAAGACATTATAGAAAATCCTCCTTAACCTGTATCCCAGTTGATGTAAATCCAGGTCATCAGAATCAAATGCGGATTGGGTCTGATCACCAGGTCGGGTCTTTCAAATAATTAGGCATACCATCTTCATGAAACCCTACTGATCATATTATTCTTATGTGACCAATAACAATATTGTGTAAAGAAGGTCTTCTGCCTCTTCTGAGTTTTTATGTTGGCCTCAGTTTCTTTCGACAATCCAAATACATGCAAGTAGATTGAATTCGCTGCATGATCATGTGTCTTCGAAACAACTAAACTGGCAACCTTTTCCTGTCTTCAGTCCATTACATAGTAGGATAAATTGGATTTGTTCGAAATTGATCAGACCCACCTTTGCATCTGTTCTGACCTTTCTTGATCTTGATCCAAATCTCACCCCTTCACCCCAGGATGAACTGAGGTCAAAATCAGGTCAAAATCTCCTAGATGCCTCACGTGACCTCACTACCTAACACCACTATGAGCCCACCATACAACAATCAGACTCTCATTCAGAAAGCACAATGTAAAAATGAGTGAATATTGTGACTTAAGGATACAGTATATTAGAGTTTATTGAGTATGATGAGAGTATTTAGAGATATATAGTATTACTGTTTATCTGGTTAAAGATTTGTTGAAGAATCACTCCTTTATAGCTCTTTATAGCTACTTTCAAAGGTGCCATCTTACCATCCGCCTCACTGTTGGCTCTATTTTCTCTCTTATCATTTGTGAATGACAGCCAGTCTGTCTTCTGCCAGTACTGTGGTAGCAGTGAGTGGGGATTACAGCGACACTGATACAAATCTAGCACCATGACCTTCTTTTAGAGCTCTGGGCTGCACTCAGCAGGGCAGGACTGTGTGGAATGTGGAAGTGTTGAATATTATTACATATACTATATGATAATTCGTATTACAGTAGGCTTGTAGAACAGGCATGCAAAGGCGTTGCTGCTTCATCTGTGAAATGTCTCTACTAATCTCTGAGTGTACTCTGTGGAGTTTTTGACCACTAGTAGTGCTTTGGAGCAGTATTTTTATGAGTGGGCCCCTGTTTTTGTTTGTGCATTACTTACATAGACTTTCTTTCTTCCGCATTCTTGCATGCCATTTTGTTAATCAACAGTTTGTGGTGGTAAAGCGCCAAGAAATGTAGCAATGCACCTGCAAAGGCAAAGAAGACAAAGGCTGCTAGCTAGTGAATAAATGCAGGATTTGAAATATAAAAAAGTCATGCATAGAAATGCATCCAACATGTCTGTCAGACCTCAAGGATAAACACGATGGGGCTGTTGCTCTGTTGCTTGGTATATGACTAGCTTAGTTGCGGTTTTACTGCGGGTCCAGATAAACCGGAACTTGCAGCTGCATGCTCAACTGGACCTGATTTCTTTGTCAAAACAAGCTAACCTGCAGCTAAAATCAGATATATGATGAAGTTACCTTAAGACCCACCAAAAACAAGTGTTGACCGTTAAAAGAGCAGTGCGTATCAAGAGGTTAAGAGTTAGAGGAAACATCAGAGAGACTCAGCCACATGTTTGAGCCTCAGTCAGACCCAGACTCATGTGACGAGTTTGTTGTGCATTGAGTTTGGCGACTAGCAGACTTATCAGAATGGTAAGCGACATTAGCATCTTTAGCATCACTCCAGTCTTTAAGTGAATTGAAGCCCTCCATGGTTTGTTTCTGTTATAATTAGGGATTTTTTAATACCTTACTGTGCACTAAGGCACTCTGGTTAGAGCTGCTTGTTGTGTATTTCCTATGCGAGTGTGGGGTAAATAATTAACATCTCTGAATTATTGATTGTCAAAATTGCTTGCTTTTATTATTTTTTCCAGTTAGAAACATTTCAGATGTATTTAATAACTCATATTCATTGCTGCTTCTATAATACCACATTCTGCAGCTAAGCTAAACTCCACAGGGCACCATGAACCTTTCGCTTATTAAAAAATATAAAACTACTTGCACTCCTGTGCCACTGAAAACTGTGTCAAATCTCGTTTGCGTTCGAGAAGGAGCTGCTGTATTCTGAATAGAAACATAAAGCCATATTGCATGGATTGATGTTTACATGTCAGTGACTTTACTACACTGATAGCCATAGTATTACAGTACCCGAGCGCCCAGCTGAATGCAGCCCACATGCTCTAATCGAGGGTTTCTTTCCTGTACATTGTGACCAGCTTGGTTGGGTTGTGTATATGAGGTAGATAGTGAGTGAACTGTATGCCAATACTGTTACCTGTTGATACATTCCTGAATGTCCCTCAGACTGTGCAACCTGTTCTTTTTCTATCCTCCTACTCCTCAGTGCAACCTGTGCTTCGTCATACAATGAAAGAGTTATGCCATTGAAATGTAGTAAGACAGGCCTTGATTGAATGTTCCCGGGCAACATGGAAAGATTTAATAGCAGAGGACATCAGAGCATGTGGAGATCAGACCTCCTGTAGGGAAGCTGGTGAACAGGAAGCGTGTCACCAAGTTTACCTCAAGAACAGTTGTTACATGATACCAAGCCAATCAGGAATTTGCCGAGTTGACCAACATCAAGGCCATAACTCTTCCCTTCTATGGCTGTGTTCTTTTCTATCCTTTAACTGAGTGCATGTCAACTGAATGTCCAGTAACTTCTTTGCTGTAGTATTAGGCCATGCTACTCTTCAATGGGTTTTGTGCTTTTCTTACCTTCTTCTTTCTTTTCTAGTATTCCTATGAAGGAGACAGAGACTAAAATCTATTATATAAAATATATATGACTAGAAAAATGGCATACATGAATGAAGATTCACTTTTATGGCAATGTTTAATGAAATATTAATTCTTAATGTATGTTTCAGTAAAACAGCTTTCTCTTCTTAAGTGTAGAGACTTATTGCAGGGATGCAAGTATTATATTTGGTCTTTAAAAAATATCTTGTTGAAATTCTAGATGATGTAGAGTGATGCAATTCAATAAAACTATAAAACTGAAAACCGTGCTTTGTGGCTTTGATTTTAAATGCAGCTGGCGCTCGCTTCATGCTGAAGGGTTGTCGCAGATCGATGATTAATTCTGATGACGTTTGTGTCCTGATGAAAGTCTAATCACCCGGCACGACAATCCTCAATTCACAAATGTTTACTTTATGGTTTGATGAGCATTACAATTAGGTAAATCATAAACAATCACTTTCGCCTTTCATCTGATCTCAGTCCAACAGAAGTATGTGATCACTCTTTGAAGTCAAGGCTTTTGTTTTTTTAATTACAAGCTGGGATATTCAGAAATGCCATATGCCAATGGTTTTGCTTGTATGTCAACAGCTTTTGACATGGGACAGATGTATTTCTATGATTGAATTTATGAGTCAAACAATAAAGCTAACATTAATGGATTTTGTCATTATCTATTCCCACTATTTCAGTTTTTCCTGCTCCTACTTGGAAGATAATCATGTTCTACGTTTTGGAACTACACATTTTGGGGGATGCAAGCAGGAATGGATTCAGAGATACTTGAGCCCCACTTTTTTTGCCTGTATTTGTTTACACCATAAAAATTTATCTTGTTTGGATTATTACCGTAGATGTAAAGATAAAAACCATAACATTACTTTTAATACTGAAAAAAACTTCTAAACTTGATTATTGTTTGCATTTGATTATACAAATTCATCCACAGTGTTATTGTTGTTGATGGTGATATCCCAGCATGCAACTGACACAGATTTGACAAATATCTGTGTTCAGATTGAACCGAGTTATGACACATAATGGTTTAGGATGAAAATTAATATTAAAAAATTATTAATAATAATAGTAATAATAATAATAATGGAGCTCTAAACCCATCTGATTTCTGTGACATTCTTGTCAATAAAAACTCTCTTTTTGAGATCACGATCGATCATACATACATTACATACATAAACTTATTAAACAAAGGTTTCATATAAAATTATTTTATTTAATTATCTTTTCATTGACCCAATAATATTCACTGTCAACACAACTACTTTACACATCATTACTAATTTATCAAAGATCAGAAAGCAGCTCTTCTTTTTAAACATACAAAATACATATATAGATATAACTTATTTACACACTCATCCAAATACACACACACAGAAACATGAAAACATCCTCCCGCCCCACCACTTGTGTCACCCTCAAGTAACCTGTCATTTCAGTCTTGTATGGCAGTGGAAACCAACAGGTCCTGGGAATATTACCAATCAGACCTCCATCACATTCTAGTGGTTACATGATTGTGCAAATGATAAGAGAATCTATACTAAGGAGAGCTTGAAGCTTTCCTGGACTATGTTTGGCAGACATGATAATATCTTTAATGTTATAATTTCATATTGGAGCAATGTTCTAGGAGTTTTTCTTTTTATGTTACTCTACTGATAATTTAATATTTTGGCTACCGCTACCATTTCAGAGAAATATAGTTTTCAAGAAAACAAGGGAATAAAAACTGTGACAACCGAAATAACACCCTGCTTAATTAGTTCATCTCACCCAAAGACTGAATACAGGCGGGTAGAATACTGATATGCACAATTACGCACTGATACCTGTGACAGCAGAAGATCGACTACAACACAAAGTGCAGAAATACCTGAGGATTTCAATCAGATCATCTCAGCATGGCAGGAGGCAGACAGAGCTTGTCATCAGGGTGCAGCTACAAAAACAATTAACCCAAGTGAAAGTAACATATGGTGACACTGAAGGAAGGAGGGAGGGAGGGAAGTCTTCTGGGTGTCGGCTGTTGTTTTAAAGATTATAGTAGCAAGTTCTGAGGGGTCTTTTGATTGTTCAGGCGTCATGTTCATTTTTATAGAGTCTGTGGTGGCCATAATTCAACATGGGCTCTCTAGAGGACAGGGGAAAGGGGAAGTACAAGTTGAGATCTGGTCACCACTGCCTCCATGAAAAACACCTGGATCAGCGAGGGAAAGTGGAAGAGTCAGATCCTTCCGAGGAGCTGCATGACAGCAATGGTGGTGCTTTGGCCAAAGATGAAGGCTCCAGAGATCAGGGTCACTACTCCCCAAACTGTGAGGACAACTCTGGAGAGAAGACGGCAGAATAAGAAAATAGAAATGGAACTGTGAATAAGTTGTCTTGCTTTTAGTCTACTTTTCTTATTTTGTAGACCCACACCATCACTCCAACTCAGTGTTAGACAATGGTTCACTGTTTAGCTTCTGTTATAGCTATAATAGTGTCCAGATGGAGCCACTACTATCCTCTGTAGCTAGGGAAACCATGGTCTTACACATAAGGATGCAGGGGTAAAGCATCACTAACTGCCCGAATCCAGTTCCACACAAGGGTGAGTGAAGTAGGGCATGACACACGCAGCAGTAGATAGGTAAGACACGTGACTATATTCAGGTATAAGAGACCAATAGAGTTGTCACACGTACAGGTTAAGACTGTGGACTAGCCTTACTTGGGTATGGTACGGAAACGTGTTGTAACCACGTGATATATCCCGTTGGACAAGACATCTTCAGGAATTGGTGTTGGCACTGATCTCATTCACTTGCTGATATTGTATTGTCTCATCATTTTCTTCTTGGTGCATCAAGGCTTCAGTAAATACTTCTGCCTCATACATCTGAATCTTAACTCCTGGTGAACATTTCCTCAACAGTAACAAGACACGCAAATGTTGCAAGCATCTCTGAAATCAGTCAGCACAAAAGGCATCATCCCTTCAGTCTAAGACCCTCAGACTGAAGGTGAGGCAGTTCAGAATTACAGCATCCTACTCAGCTTGTCAGTGTCATTTTTAGCCAATAGCAGCACAGCTCTAGCAGTGTCAGTTTGTCAGTCGGTCCAATACTTTGACTGAAATATCTCAAGAATTATTGGATGGATTGCCATGAAACGTTGTACAGACATTCATGGTCCCCAGAGAAAGAACATACACGAGGGTCATTCAAATAAAAGGTTAAGAAATCTTCCTTTTCTATTGTGAGATATCAAGTAAGCAAAGTTGAAAATCTCACCTGAGGGTCGCACAACAGGAAGTGTGCAAATGTGGAGGGTTCATCCTCAGGGAAGCATGAATTTGCTCAGAAAATGTCATTCTGATTTACATGTTAAATTTTAACATTTAACATGTACACGTGGAGATTCTGTATGTGGAAATGTATATGGGCAGAGGGTTGTTGCTGGACAGAACCTCTCTGTACATGTGATTCTCCCTACACTAAGGAGACAGAACAACTTAATCATAAAAAAGGAAAGATTGTGGCCTGGGTGTGGGAAAACATGAAAGAAAAGAAGATCAGAAAACTCAAAACTCTGGGGAGCAAGAATACACGCAGTAAACTTTATGGAAATCTGGCCAAATGTTGTAGACATATTTTTGATCTGGCCCAAAGTACTGGTGGGCACACTAGGGGTCCAAGAGGCAGGAAGATCTCGCCATCATCAGGCAAAAACAAATTTAATGAGAGTTTTTTTAAGACCTGGTTTAAAGGTTTTTATCAGATTAAAAATTGTACACGTTGAAGGTTTCTGTAAGAATGGACATACTGACAAACTCACTCAGGCAGTCCAACATCACCCAGATGTATATTTACATTAACACTGAAGTTTTCTCTCACCTGGTCTTACAGGACACTGGCTCAGACTGCATGGCAAAGATCAAACACAGTCCTGTCCAAACACAAACACAGGGTGTAACGGTTGCAATGCGTTTGACAGATTATGAAGCAGTGAGCAAAGTGTTACCTGGGAAGATGAAGATGAAAAAGGCGCTGATCCCTCCAATGACACTGATGACCTTGCTGATGTCTGGCACAAAGACGGCGATGAGAAGTGTCACTGTGATCCACAGGACTGTCAGCGCATAGCGGCTGCGGCTTTCAAACTCCACCGTCACCACGCCATAACGCCTCCGCCGCCAACTTAGCAGGGGATCCTGGATCACTGATCTGTACAGAGATGGATGTATGACCTATTTATTTATTGAATAAATCCTGTACTCACATCAGGTCAAATATTACTTTCCATGGGGAAGGACTTATTTGAATTTTATCTTAAAAGGTTCTGTAAATGATCGTCACTGCCACTAGATGTCGCACTAGACCACCAGCATCTCAGACCAAAACAAATGCTTCGTTGGCCACACATCAGGTCTCCCTTCGCCCTAATTTAGTCGCTCACTCACATTACGTAACATTATGTAGTCATTAAGTTACTTACAACATGAGGAGAAGGAAGCTTTAGCAGCTCGTAGGGTTCTCCATCTTGGTAAAGCCAGACTAGTATTGGCTTCGCAGTCGGACCAAGAAAGAAATTCAGCCTTGGACTTACAACTTATCCGCTAGGACTGGCCGCATGAATGACACTGACTGAGTCGGTTTAAACTTTAAAAACTTTATGGCTGTTTTGACGATCCTCCAGCCGACTGGAATTTGAGCCGGTCCTCCCCATGGCCGCTCGTGCTCTGGTCTTATCTCTTTCTTTGTCAAAGGCCTTTTAAAATGTGGTTTCTTCAGTGGAGGGAATTCTGGTATGTTGCTTTCAACCTGAACCCTGCGTACTGCACTGTGGCGTCTCGCGTGTGGGTGGTCCCTGTGTGTTTATAAATGCGCGGAGGGCCAAAAGTTTAACAGGAGGGACTCTCATGCACTAACATGCACACGCTGCCATCCTGGATACCAAAACAAAGAACAGAGAAACTCAGATTACAACATATACAGAGGGGTTGTGACTTTGTGTTCTGTTCAGGACACCATTACTCCACTATAGCTCTGCATGGAAAACAGTTGTTTGCTTCATTATTGTTGTTTAAAATCTCATTTACAGAACCTTTAACATTCCAGATACACTTCAATTGAATTTTAAAGTTTAACAGTCGTCAAGGTCATTGAGTGTTTTAACACTGAAGTGATCTAACATCAATGCGGCCGTGTCCCTGACCTGCCCAGCAGCAGGATGATGGGATAGATGGTGATGATGGAGACTCCGAACAGCAGCCTGGCAATGAGCATCAGAATGTCATCCCCAGTGTACGACATCAAAATGTCGGCCTTCACGTTCTTTCCAAATGTCAAGTACCCATAAACCCCTGCAACAGAGAAAGAAGGGTTATGCTTCCTGTAGCAATGATGACAGCATAGCTGAAGCCAAATGGTGAATCTGACATTTTCATTCACAAACAATGGACAATGGAGCTGACTCAGCACAAACACAATGTGACATGTGCATAGTAAATGTTATTGTGTTGTGCATACAGCTACGCCCAGCCCGCATGAGCTACGAGCCAGATCCATAATACAGGGTATGCATGTTCAAAAATACTACAAAAATAAATAAAGAAATACCTCAAATTATGATCATCTGTGCGCGCACCAGAATATTTCAAGGTTTTGTCAAACTATACTTCAAAAGAAAACGAGTTTCACTTTCCATTTTTCCTACAGGCAGCTTCACACTGCTCACATCTGTATCCGCATCAATATTTCTGAATCTGTCAACCTCAATGACCGGAGGAAGAGAACCAGTTCCCAGCTGTGAAACTGAAGCTCTTTGGCTTCTAGATAAACTAAATGTAACATCATATTCTGAGACTAACCTAAGATTGATGTACGTATACGTCTTTAATTTTGGCTTTGAGGAAAAATGGTTTAAAATATCTTGTCAAAAGCTTAGGTTTAACATCATGTCACAAATTATTCCTCAGTAAATATAGAATATCCACCTCCTCACAGACGGAGCAAAGCTCTACTTTCATGGAGAAGTGTGTGTTTTACTCCACACGAACACATTTTCATTATTCCATCTGCCAACATTTTAATTAGACGACTCCACAGTCGAGAATATTTCACATTTCACTTGTACTGACCCTGATATCCAGCCAGTGTCTCCCTTAATTACCAGTAAAAGAGCAAATTTATGAACCCCCAGAAAACATCATATAGCTCTATCCTGTATAGAGTCTGCAGCTGTAGTTCAGAACTCCACACATATCTCACCGTGTCACCACTTTCAAAGCATCCTCACTTCATCTTGGACTAAAAAAACCTCCTGCAGCCTGTTTCACAAAGTTGATCCAACCAGCTTGAATCACATTCAAATGAAAGTGGTGAAGTTCTTAATTACAAGCAACAAGAACAGAATAATAAGATGTAGAATCAGTGGGAATAACATCCACATTTTCAAAGTAAGGCTAAGGTGTGTTCAGTGGTCTAGAGTGAGAATGAAAAATAATGGTATTACATATAAACGCTAGAATAAGAGCGGAAAAGCATCTGCACCGTCAAGAATCCTGCTGGGAATGAAAGACAGGATCATCTACAGCTACAATCTCCATCCACTATGATTTTAGTGTGTTAACCTGCATGACCTTCTCTTCAAAGTGAGCCAGTTTCATGATACCAGAAAACCTGAGTCAAATCCAATGATAGCCGATAACCCACTACTCCTGCTTCATATCACATGCCCCTGGTGTTTCTTCTGGTGCTTTAATATTGCACTGGAAATGTGCGGAGACAGGTGTGGATGCGTATTAAGGAGGCACAAGAGAGGAGGAGCAGAACCCTTCTCCGACCTGTGAGGGAGTAAATGACGAGACAGAAGATCATGGAAACCACGGAGATGAGGACCCAGTGAGAGAGCCGCTGGTTCGCCATGCTGCTGTAGATGGTGATGGACGCCTCGTGGCACTGCAACACACAGAGATGAGAAATTAGATCCCACATTTGCAACCATGTGCAACCAAAGGCGATGATAATGTAGGTTTTTTCAAATCAGCACAGCAGCTCATTTCATGCACTAGTTCCTCCTCTCTGGTTGAGTGCACCATTAACTGTTAGTATCTAGTGGGAATGAAAACCAAATTCAGACAAACTGCAGGTCCGTTGACAAATAAAGTAGGACATCGCACAGGGACTAGTTGTTGGTCGGACAGATTGTGTCTCCCTCCAGCCACTAACGTTGGATTTTTCTCATCTGTGTGGAGCTCGCAGGGAAGGGTGAAGATCTAAAGGTCTTATTATCTCTGATCTCTCTGTCGGTGTGATGAACCGAGATGAGATAGGGAATTAAATGAAAGCAATGGAGTTAACCCATCGCAGAGGTCAGGATACAGACTCTTGTCCCCACTTGATCCCAGCTGCCATCGTCCGGTTTTAAATCTCGCTTCATCTTCACTGCCTTTGCCCTCTTCCACTGCTCTCAGGATCTCATCAAGTCGCTTTTCAACCCCTTGCACTGCAATCACTCACCCTGAGGGAGCGCGTCTGCGTGTGTGTTTGTGGGAGAGGACATGCATCAATCCTTTCGCACTTTCCCCTCCTTTTATTAGATTCCACCAGCATCCTTCAGGGGTTACCTTGGCAACTTGGGAAGTTACACATCAGTCTGTCCTGCTTTAGATTGACAGACTGATCATTTTCCCGCACTCTAACCTGCTATTAAATATGAAAGGCTCACTCTGCCGAGCTCCTGTGGAGCACAGCAGCCTGCTGACCTTTACACTACACTTAAACACACTCTCTTGAGAAAGCTCATGTCGTAAAGATTACTGAAAATACCCACAATGTACCACTTCTATATGTACTTCATTAGCAACAGAGAAATATGGTGAAGAATGAGATTAAGACAAATATTTTAACATTTTTTCAGTTTTGCCAGTGGATAAATGTAATTTGATTTGTCAAGATTTTGAGATATGGGATATTTCTGCATCCACCCCTGTGCAGTGAAGTTAAATGGAATTACATTATTTGTGGTGCTCGCAGTGTTATAAAATGACATTATAAAAAATTCAACAGCAGTTTGTCTCTCCAGAATCAGACTCTTTTACTCTGGAGTAATCCACAGATGTCGCTGTAACCACTCCTCATCGGATATTTCTACTTCTGAAGAAAGTAGTTCAACTGAAAACTGTTCAAAGTGAGGTCTAGACTATCCAGAGTAAAACCGACGCATCACAACTTCAGCGTTTTCAGCGTTGTGTTTGTGGGTATTTTTTTTCCTTGGCACAATCCTGCTCTGCTGTGTGCAGCAGCCAGTGAACTATAGTGTATGTACTGTAAGAGCCATGATTAAAGGACTAGCTCAACATTTTGGGAAATACTCTTATCAGCTTTCTTGCTGAGATGATGTAAATAGGAGGCTAGAGCCAAGAGGAAATTAGCTCAGGGATGGTGACTTCCTGGACTCTTGTCTTTACCATGAAGTTGCCAGGCAACCGGCAGACTTAAATAAAATTCAATGAATTACTATTAAGAAGGTCAGGACAAATGAATAATATTCTATATTCAAACTGTAGTGGTTTGTTCAAATTCAAATTTACAGGCTATAAGCTCAACAGACTTTTCGAAGTAGTTCGACTAACAGGGCCACCAGAGGGCGCTCTTAAAATTCACTCTCAGCTTAATCTATCAGCGCATGCAATAGAGCTGTCAAAGTAAGCTACTAAATAAAAATGGAGAACACCAGCGAACAAAGCTGTGCTGGATAATCACGACACTGGAGCATCTGAGAAGCGGTGTGTCCAAGTATTTTGGGTTCTTTGTAGTAGATTGGAAAAATACAAAGACGAGCCGTTTTCTACATTAACAAATCTGAGCACCCACCTGCTGGACTGCCACCCATTAGGTGCCTTACACTATATGGATTCCATTCAAATTAATCTGAACAAACCACGTGTAAGAAGAAATTCATTTGAACTTCACATTTTAAAATAGTGACAGCAGTCCCACAGGTTCAATTCTATTCACCTCTATTGTTTAGGAGTGGAGGCAGAAATCTCAGAGAACAACAAGCACCAAGAGGTGAGTGAGAAAAATATATTCTTTATTATTTTTTTAATTGGAGTGAACTGACCCTGCGTGTACTTCGAATTTCGCAGCCACGACTGAAATGTTTTTAACTCCTGAACAGTACATACATAAATACATAAACCCTCCTCCCACACACAACTGCACTCAACTGGCCTCCAGCTTCACCTCGCCATGGCAACACAAGTTAAAGTCTAGACTGGTCCTACGTGAACGCAACTCAAACTGTTGCACTCACTTGGAAACCAAAGCAGATGGTCGGGATGACGCTGAACATGGAGGCCCAGGAGCTGATCCTGCACACAGACAGGAGGAGACACACACAGGACAGTCGTTTTCAGAAGTTCACAAATGCCACAAGAAGAAAAAAGAAGACATAAGATATTATTAGGGCATCATTCGTAATGACATGGCATTTAGGGACGCTTTACCATAATGTTCATCCATCAGTCACAGGCACACGGCTGACAAGGGCAACCGAGGTAAGCCAGTGAGGCAGACAGTGTCCAATCAGAGACACAGGGGGCTCAAGGAGAGGGGGGAGCACAACGGTTTGATCTACTTTGTCTGTCCTGGATTCACAGCAGATTCATGGATAATCTTCATGGACTCAAGACAGTCATATTTCCTGGAGCAACCTCATAACATTGATTAGCTCTGTTAATTAAGTAGATTTATGACATAGAAAAGAAACTAGAAGACAAAGAACTTTACTTTAAAACAAAGACTTGCTGTTTAGCATTTTGTTGTAATTATTTTTTTCCTTCTTTCTTCACTTCCATGGAAACAACTGAGGTGTGAAGGCAGATTATACACCTTGTATCAGTCATGCAGAAAACAGTAAACACAGACTGTTAAGCATATATGCACAGTAAATTGATTCAGACTGAGCACACTCATTAAATACATAACAGAAAAGTTTCTTTGTGAGTTTTAGGAGAAATGTGCAGGTACAAAACCTGTTGCCACCAGATCAAACCACAGAATATTCAAAGGAATAGTTTGACATTGACATTTTGGTAAATACCCACATTCATCTTCTTTTGCTGAGAATTTGATGTGAATATTTGTCTGTTATAGAGACTATTTTCCACTATCATGACTTGACAGAGGCGCAGGAGACCAGCAGCAACACCAAACCCAGAAGATATTCAACTGACAATAACATACAACAGAAAAGCAGCAAATGATCAAGCTAGAAGTATGTTAATCCATTATCAAAATGTTTAGTTGGTCTTAGCATAAAGACTGAACAAAACAACTAGCGTGGCTCCGTTAGCCTTCCAGCACCTCCACAACTCAGGAGTGATATGTATATATGTTATATTTTGTTTGTTATATCAAAGTGTAAAAACCACAATTTGTGCTTTCCTGTGGGTTATCCCTTTAATAATAATAATAATAATAATAATAATAATGCTAACTTTAGGACAACAGAGAGAAAACATACAGCAGAAGGACTTAAAACAAGTGAGTTAACAACAATTCAATTCATCGCACTGTTGTGTCTTTGCACACGTACGTACCCGCTGCTGTAGAGAGGGGTGACTTGAACCAGAACAGAAGGCATGGTGTGGTATTTGATGATGATGGCGACAGTCAGGTAGGTTGCAGCCAGAGTGCCGAGAACACTGTGAGAGGACAGAGGCAGAACGACTGCTTCAGACAGACATCAGACAAACAGTGCAACGGATGAGTGGATTACTGGAAACTGACCACAGGGGTCAGCGCTTTCAGTAGGATCACGTCAACCATTCATCCATACGCAGTACATGCATAGTCGTATTTATGCATGTGTATAAACAAAGGCTAAGGCGGTGTGACACAAACTGAGCATTTGTGACATATAGTAAAAGCTTTAGCAGCACTGAGGGGAAGAAAAGGTAAAGCCTGTCCTGAGGATGGTGCTTGAGAAAAGGTCCTGGGGTCAGTAAAAGCAAAAGGGTTTATCACTATATAGGAAATTATAGTTATCTTGGGAAATTTGATGGTAACCCGACTTGATATGAGGAGTCTCATGTGTAAATTTGACATTTTTGGGGCTGCAGGTGACAGCAAAGGAAAGCTTGTGGCGTTTTCAAAGTGAAAAGGTTTCATCTTCTGTGGAGCAGGAACCTTCTCAGTAAATTCGGTAGCAATCTGCACATTAGATTTTAAAACGGATGGTGGCGCTAAAGTAAAGGAGTCAGCAAAATCATACATGAACATCAACATATTATCTTGCTCTGGACCAACTAAACAGTTTAATCCAAACCAAAAAGTAAAAGTGAGCACAGTAATTGAGACTACAGCTGTAACTGGGTTAACATAAATCTTGAAAAACCTTTATTATACATAGAGTATATGATAAAACTGGTGTGAACCTAAATATACTGTGGTTGCATGTCCTGGTGTGTAGACATGCAGTGTGACTGCACCTGACCTGATGTATTTCTGAATGCTGATCTCTTTGGGGATGGACAGCGGCAGGATGAGGAGGAGGCAGAGCAGCACCAGGGCGAAGCGCTGGTCTGTGTAGAAGTGATACGGCATCTCCGAGTCCGGCAAACCGGTTACCAGCTCGTACAGGGAGCCGCACACTGAAAGACACACAAACAGGAGTCAAACAGGAAAACACACACAACATGCACGCAGAAATAAAATGCTAAATAATCAGAGTTTTAACGCAAACTGTATCTGTTGCAAAGTTAATAACATGAAAAGTCTATTTTTAATAACAGAAAAAATCCTCCTGCTTCAGACCAAATATCTGCAGGCCAGAAAAATTTCACCACAACCTGAACTATTTGGTTGCATTCAACCTGATCCGATTCAATGTGACGAAGCACAGAATATCATTTTGCCTTCTGAGAGGAGAGAAAAAAGCCAAGCAAGGTTACAGGAGAGTCGTCCACTCCAACATAAGAAGAGGGGAGAGATCGTCATCGACTGGATTTCGATTTCAGAGAGAAACGGCCATGGGTTCCACCGCAGCTCTTTTCGAACTCAAGGGGTTATTGACAAAAATGAACATGAATGATGAAGTTCAGGAGGATCTGACAAAAGAGCAGAAAAACTCACACTTCTCCAGTTGGTCGTCCACTATAACCAGAAAGGCCACAGATATCATGAAGAGGTTGAAGACGAAGCAGATCTCACACAGCTGACCGATGGCCGGCCCGCACACCTCTTTCACCACCGCCTGGTAGGTGCACTGGCCGCTGATGGATGACGCGTAGCCCAGGATGATCAGACCACTGACCAGGAACACGAGAGAGACCTGAGTGGATGGAGGGAAACACACTTAAGCTTTGACCTTATAGAATTAAAGTCGAACTTTGCCTCAGTATTTTTTTTTTTTTAAAAAGCTGAAATAACTGCAGACCAATCAGCAAACTTTTGATTCTTGAGCAATGGTTTTCAGATGTATTGTGGTTAATTAGATGACGATGATCAGCTGTGGCAGATGGAGGAGGTGGTGGAGTTTACCTGAGCATGTTGCATGTAGGAAATAAGTGTAGAGCGGGGCATCAGCGCAGTCTTTGACCTCTCGTTCGACTCAGTGATGTTGTCACATTTTATTTTGTTTTAAAGTGAAAATAAATCAGCTGAAATGAGGGAAGCAGCGTGAGTCAAGAAGACGAGCCCCAAGAACAGGCCACTACAAAGTCAAAGAGTCCGGGTCCCCTGGAATCGCAGCTCTTTATTAATAATATCTTACAGCCTCTTCATGTAGGAGTTTTATGTGATCAGAACATCTGCCTAATTATCTTGATGGCTTAAATTTGTTTGTAGAAATCGAGGAACTGATGCAGCGTTGTGTTGCTTTTAGCGACGTGTCGTAACGTGTCGTCTCTGTCTGATGTCCTTTACTTTGTAACGTGAACGCTGTATTTCCACCGTCTACCTTACGATCGTTGCTCTGTTCGACTGTGTTCACCATCTTATTTTAGCACGTTAGCGTGCTTACATTTGCTGACTCGGAACGTTTGACCTGATGCTCACCTCAGATAAAAAAGTCGGGGAATCATAGAAGCTTTTATGATAAATAAATCTGTCCCAGAATATGTGCCAATCCATCCAATCGTTTCTGTCTGGACCAAAGTGACTGAACAACAGAGCGACATTAGCCGAGACGGTTATTGACTCACAATAATCATTTCACTTACTTTTACTTTTATCTTGGCAAAGTTCTTGTTTTGCGTGCTTGTATTTAGACAACATTCAACATTTGAGAATTTTGTCCTCTCCTGTTAAATCATTAAAAAAAAGTATTGTTTAGCATCAACACACAAATGAGCCCATGGCCTGACCACTGGATGGTGCCAAAGATACACGTCTTTAAATCCTACACAAATAGTAGAGGCTTTAACTAAAACAGCTTTGTTCATTCTCGACTGTAGAGAACAATTATTGGTTATTTGATGGAACAAATCTTGGAAACAAAGTTTTAAGTTTTTCCTGTAAATTTACATCTTCCGCCGTCTTCACGTCTTTTTGTTATTCCTCATTTAAATTTCTGGCATCCAGCTTTGATTAATGACACAAGTAACACTAAAAGGAGTATTGAACGCCTGGATGGATGAGTCATTTTGAGGCTATAAGGCAGTGTGACAAGTCTATTTAATGAAAAGCACTGTTGTGAATGAACCTGATGAGAGTGAAAAATGACACTGAGGAAAACAAGACAGGAGAAGGATAGGGACTATCTGAAAGTCTCCCTAGAGGAAAATGCAATCAAAAAGGTGATATAGGTTTTTTTTTTTAGAAATGACTGCTCTGGAATCAGGAGGCCTGGGACAGAGAGGAGGGAATGGTTGCAGATGAATTGACAAAAATAACTTAACTGTATTATCCTTGTCTTGTATTTTCCACAGCTGTCATAACGTAACGTCAAAAGGGATGAGGATGACCATCTGTGACCGTCTTGAACTTTCCAGTCAAAACTTTCAAACCCTTTTACCCTTTTTATGTAAGAGGTGTGCCAAGCAATAATCTTCACAGCCCGAGAGGTTACCTCTGTATCCCTGCTGCGTGTCAGGACATGTCAGGGTCTTCTGCTGATAAGGAGCAGTGACTTACTGCCTGCTAATGAAAGGAGTGGAAGATAGTGTTTCTTCAATGGCTGTAGGAAAACCAGCTACACAACCTAAACAGAGAGAACTGAGAAACTGTACAAAGGAGGCGTCCTTCAGGGTTATAGATCCCTGCTGAACGGCTTTAAGGTCAATTAGAATTAGTCGGCAGGGACGTACGAATGAATGCAATTATTCAAATTAGGTCTATAAAAGACCTGAGAGGGAAAACACCTGGAAGTGACTTTGAAAGAGTGTAAAAGAGCAAACTCTGACACAAACACACAGAAGTGTAAAGTTACTGTCCAGCGTGCACTCAGGTATTCGGGATCACTGCAGTGTAACGGGCACATTTCGCCTTATTGGGATGATTCAAGATTCAAGTTTCTGGCCTCATTTAGCACCAATTACACTGTCCAGAAAAAAAAAGTAAAGGAGATTAGAGGAGGCAGACCACATCAGAGCTCTTTAACAGTGCACAACAAGCTTACAGTTCACTGGCACCAGCAGAGATGCTCCATTACCAATTTTTATTGCTGATACTGATTAAATATATAAATTAAAATTAGTAATTAATAAGAGATGAGCAGTGCAGGGCATCATCCAGATCAAGAGGCATCATGTGCCCCCGACTGTGTGGTGGACGGTTTGAAAGCAGTGTTTTCTCAATTTGCATTACCATTATCAGTTAATCAAGATATTATGTTTTCAACTCAATATAAATGCCTTTTCCCCGTCACAAGTTCCAAAGCGATGCATCAGATTTCTTATTTAGTCTGAAAAACAGTGCCAAACTCAACAGCATTCAATTTAAAGAGACACGAAGCAACCAGGTAGCAATTGTTTTGGGATTTTACAGAATAAATAATATGAAAATAATCAAACCTGCATTAATATTTGTGGTGACACAGAGTTAATGACTGCAACGATGATGACTCATTCAACTACCCGTTAACAATGGCATCTGTTACGTTTGTCAGGTCGGCAGAAACACAACGCTAAATTAATGCTAATTTTGCTACATGTAATTAAGCAACACATTAGCCATGTTAACGATTAAGCCTGTGATTTGTTGTGGCTGTGCATCTGTCAGGCTGCTTCATTTTTCTGCCCCCTAGTGGCCAAAAATGAATCAATGTAGCTTTAAAGACACTATTAAAATGTAATCGCATTGTTTCAACAAAAGATAATTCACTTGTTTTGATTTCACCTCCATCTTTGGAAGGAAGAACCCGTGTGGGTGTGAAATCAAACAGCTGAAAGGCTGTGAGAAAACAGTCCTATTTGTCCTACTTGAGATGAAAAGTGACAAAACAGAGGACAAAGCACTTCAAAACCCATTCAAGCCATGTTTTGTCAGATGTCTGCAGGAGGACAAGTGATAAGCAAAGACACATCAAGACACTGCAGACAAACTGAACTGAATACTTTTCGAGCAGGAACAGAATAGGGGGAAAAATATTGCCTGATAAAACCCCTCTATTTCTTCTGCATTGTGATTTATCCAAAAAGCATGAACAGGAGTTAGAAAAGAGGACAGGTAGGGATAGCAAGAGAATAAAAGAATTGCTTATATTTTCTATCCAACTCTTCGGTGGCAGCATTATTCAAAAAGAAGTAGAACAAGAACACATAGTTTGTCCCTCTTAAAACTGGAGTAAAGAGGTTCCCCAGCAGAATTGCCCCTCGCCCACATGGGGAACAGAAAGAAAAAAGACTGATGCTGAGGTTTATGGGGACTTTGCGAGCTCTTTACACATGAATAAAACAGAGATGACTCAATCAAGTCCATTTCCAGGGTCAGTGTGATGTGATGACCAACTGGGGTGAAAAAGGCTGCACACACACAATGAGTTCAGGATTATGCAGAAGGGGGAAAAGACTGACTGTGTCAAGTGTCAAATAAAAATCCAACACTCAAAAAAAAAAAATCTGCCTTATAGTGGTGTCAGTTACAGAGAGGAGAGAATAGCAGAAGAAAAGTCAGAGTGATAAGGATCAAGTGAATCTAAAATGTGCTGAGGTCAAGTCTAACACGGCCTCTCCTGTCAGGTGGAACAGATCACAATCTCATTAATTGATCTCAGTAGACCTCCGCCCTCAATAGATAAGATACATCTCTCATACGACCAACTTCCAATATAAATAAATATTTAAAAAAAGTTACTTCTACTTATGAGAAATAACCTTTAAAAAGAAGTTTGGCAGCAACAACTTTGTCTATCTCTGCCAGAGCTCCGTCATGCAGAGAAACCCTAACTTTTCCCAGTAGATACAAGCTATCCTCCTTTAATCTTAGATTTATATTTATTTTTAAATGCCCACCAGCTCCACGGTGACTGCGCTGCGGATGCCCCCGGCTCTCTCGAAGGCCCAGGGGAAGTTGAGGAGCCCGGCGCCCAGGGCGGACTTCAGCATGATGAAAATGGCCCCCATGGAGCCGAGCCGAGGAGCGGCGGCAACGTCCAGCGGGGGCTTGGCTGAGGCTGAAGCCAGTAGGCTGATGCTCTCTCTGGCTAACTCCTCCATGCTTCACGGCGGGACACACTGGCGCACACACGGCTCCCAACTGCTCCCCGGGGCACGGCGCTGAGGTTTGTGGGCCGCGCTGGGGTTGGCTGCTGCCTTCAGGTGCTGCTCGGAAAAAACTAAACTAAGCTCCTCAGATACGTGACCTAACCACAGACTTGATTGTGCTACTTTGTAATGAACTTTCAATCCAGAAATGTGAATAAAAGTTTAACTGCTTCATTAAAGTGCAATGGAGTCCAGTTACGAATAAAAAAATTAAATGAAAAGGTGGTGTTTTATGTTATCTCTCAAAAACAAGGTCGGCCAAAACACGGGATGCAGGTAAAAACTATACATTGAAAGGGCGTGAAAAGTGGCAGACTACTAAAAAAAATGTTTTTATTTTTTTTTTATAAGAATTAAAATACTTCACTTTAACATAACTAAATATCACAACAACATTGCACTAATAAGCTATAAGCTTTTTCCATCATCGACTTAATAGCCTAATTATGGTATTTCTAACAGTACATGAAGGCAACATCATTGAGAGCAGTTCCTTGGTCCTTGATTTTTAGTTTGACAGTCCAGTCGCCATTAAATGTGACCATTATAAATTAGGCCAGTTTACAACTAACAGAACATGTGTGCTAAGGAAACAGGTGATTTACAGGGATTTTCTGTATGAGAATTTAAATTGTGAGGCATTTGTTTATCTAAATGTGAGGGAAATTACAGTTAAGTCTTTACTGTATCACAACTCTTTTTTGTTTGTTTGCTTGTTTGTTTGTTTGTAAACGTTTCAGTGGCCACTATATTGAATTTGGTTTCCAAAAATCCTGATTGTTTTCAGAGAATGTATTTTTCGTAATTTTCAACGTTCTTATGTATGTGTATGTATGTTTATGTATGTGTCACCAAATCTGGTGATTTTAATACATGAGGGGGAAGGAAATGAGGGGGAACAAGAATGAGTTACAGGAATGAAGGGAGGTGGATAAACAGTAAAGATCAGCTAAGACGTGTAAAGTTCAATCGACCAGAAAGCCTCATCATAGTGTCACACTCAAGTACAACGAGTGAAGCGAGAGATATAGCAGAGGGAGAATCTGAGGGGAAAGAGAGAGAGAGAGAGAGAGAGAGAGAGAGAGAGAGAAAATGATGAGAATTAGAGGGGGGATGGGGAGGAGGTATGAGGAGGGCGTCGGAGAGGTGGAGTGGGGGTAAAGGTCTGTGTGGGGCCAGAATGTCTTGTGCCCAGGCCATCACATGCAGTGAAGTCAGTGAAAGTCAGGCGTAAGAGAGCTGGGGGAAAGGAATTAGGCGGTTAAGAGAGAGTTCTACGGTGCGCAAGGTTGTTTTTTAAAAAAGTTTAGACTGAAACCAATCGGATTGCACTCCAGGCTATGAAAATGAAGGGGTTAAAAATGTTGGCTATATTTTGACACGAAGCAGAGTAATGTGAAGTAGGTCAGGTGAGGAAGGGTTTCACGCGTGTGTTGCTCATTTCAACAAGATTTAGCCTCTGTTTGAGTGTTGAGAGAAAAGTCTGTACAACACAGAGGCCTGTTTTTCTGCTATTTACCCTCAGACAGGAGAATTACAACAACTTATTCCCGCTAAGAAGTTCCTGTCAGTGGAAGATGATGGAAACTGAACTGCTGCTTCCGGTCCCCCTCATGGTCTCCCCTCTACTCTTTAAGCTTTCATCACTTCTGTCTTTTGATGACAACGGTTGTTTGTGTCCGTGACTCAGTGCTCTGCATCGTTCTCTTGTCTCGCCTGGAAAGAGAAGTAAACATGAGGCAGCCAGAATTATTCAACAGAGTGGGCAATTCTGAATAGTCGAGAAGTGGGCACATTAACTTGTAAATGTCATGCACAGAATCGATTTGGCGGTACAAAAGCCAAAAACGCTTTATTTGAGTTCAACTAAAAAAAAAACTGAAAAAAAAAGCACAAACGTCACCTTATTTCACTTGTGAAATTGGATTTCTGACTTAATTTCATGGATGAAAATGAAAAAGCTACACAAATCAATTTCCTGCTGTACAGTCACAGGGTAACAAATTGTACCCTGTAGGTTAAAGTCGGCTCTCTGAAGGGAAGGAAAGTCATGGACTCAAGCTGCATGTCATTTGTTGATTTGCTTTCATAACCCTTCTGTTTATAATTTACAGGAACACAAAATAATCTCATTAATTCTCTTTGAACAGGAGCGAGCCACCCACGCCTACAGGATTATGGATGGAGATAACGGGAAAGAACTGTATGTATGGAGGTCCATTCACAGTTTAAGTGTTACAGGCCTGTCGGTGTCAGTGGGGGGAAAAAAGTGAGATAAAGTCGCTTTTTTGCAGCAAGTCTCAAATCTTGGCCATAAAGTCCTGAGTCAAGACTAGCAAGTCTAAAAACAAGTCAAAGTCCTAAACTTTGCATTTAGCAACAAAATCCACAAATTAATCCACGATAATTAATGGTTTGTATTAGCAATGCTAGCAACATGACTCTAGGCATTTCAGTGTCGGTCCATCTCAACAACAACTGGATGGATTGCAATGAAATTTAGTGCAATCATTCAGGATGAAACGTAATCCTCTAACTTTTCCTCTAGTGTTCATTTGACCAGTACTTTGGTTTATGACCAAAGCGCCTGATATTCCTGTGAACCTCTGCTGTAATTGATGAGTTGATTCACGGCGCACTTATCATCATTTTTAATGTTTGGGCTCGAGCAGGATATCAAGTCATTCCAAGTCAAACGGCTGAAGTCCAAGTGCAGTGATGAGTCACTGGTGTTAAAGGCAAAGGCGAGTTGCAAAACTTATTTGGATGTTATCATCCCATTCATGACTGGAGTCTGATTCAAGTCATGTGGACCGGAGTCACATGACTCCTTTTTAAAAAAGTTATGTCACATAATCAGTAAGGTTCCCTCCGAAAACTCAAATCAGCCAGCGACACACTGAAGTCTTGAGGGGACACAGGGGAGACGTGAAGGAGGACTGATGAGAGTGGGACATGTGAACAGGTGAGGCAGCAGGAGTGTAGCTAGCCTTTGATGCTGGCACAGACGTTAATGGGTAAAGTGGACGGGGAGAGGTACAGGCTGGTAGGACATATGACGAGGGCGGAACCACAGAACCTGAGGGGGGTTGAGCGTTCAGCTCAGAGCCACCACGGTGTCTCTTTCAACTGCCTGTCCAGGGCGTGAGGAGGCGACCTGATTGGCCCGACAGGAAGTCCTGGCATCTGGGAACCGTGGAGGGAAAGAGGGCATGTGACCTCCACTCACCACCAGCTTTCCCAAATCTTGTTAGCACAGCTAGCTGGCTCCGGGGTTATTTCCCAGTTTCCCAAGGTTCCGAGGGAGATTAGTTCTCCAGTGGGGCCGTCATCCAGCAGGACGGGTGACAGATTCACAGGCTGATCTGGCCTATTAGGCTCGGATAAGGAGCCAAAGCTCAGACCCCTGAGCACACAGACGCACATCACCTCTGATGAAATCAACCTGCATCACTGATTTCAGCCCATAACCAATACTAAACCCACGGGTGAGATGGAATTAGTCCATTCAATGTATAATTAACTACTCCACAGAGAGGAATGCAATAATTTCTTCTCAACGATCTATCAGGGAGACAGTCTGAAAGCGTTTTACGAACCTGCAGAATTAAAAGGAATTAGCTCGTGTCAAATGTAACCTCAGTTTTTTTTTATGCTGAAGTTGCCTGTGGTGACTGTAGCCAACTGTTTAGGTCGGTTTCATCTCATCTGCTGAACAAGCCTCCACGAAACAGCAACAAAAATAAAGACCAAAACTGACGGCTATTGCTGACTGAGCAATTTCCAGTTATTTCTCATTTTAATTCGATAAACGATTCTGCTCAGTCTACACTCTGCAAGCTGCAGCTCTCCACCACAAATAGGTAAACCTTCAGGGCGTCCTGATGGTTAAGACACACACCATTTACTGTAATCACAATGCTCCCAAAGTACCACCAAAAACGTCTTCTAAATGGTTCTGCTCTATTGCTCGGTGGTTGGTGGACGGTTCAATTTAAACAAGCTGGAACAGTTCAAGATGTTGTCTCTTTATGATACCAGTGAAGTCATTGGTTTTCTCTTTTTTTGGTGGTGGGAGATGTGTTCATGCTCACAGGTATTGATTTAACTTTCTGATAGTATTGGAACAACATGGATTTGCACTTTATCCACAGGGGCAAAACAAGAATAAAGACAATGCTGTAATTGTTGCCAGAAGAAAACTAGAAACCATTTTGTGATCGGACATCAGCTGCTGTTGACGATCCGACCCATGAGTACTCAGTAGTCATTACTATATTATCACAAGTGCTCAGTACTCATGGTCAGACCACATCCATCTCTAACCTCGGCCTTCATCTTGCACGGTTTTGACGCTATCACAGCGACAAAATCTGACGGACGGACGGACGGACAGACAGACAGACAGACATATAAACACCTGCCAGAGAAAATCGCCTCTGTGTCTCCAGGACCACAAGGTGAAAACAATAACAGCCACATGCTGTTGCAGCTGGTAAAAAAATAGAAAGCACTATGCCCAGTTGTATGATTGAGCTGTTTGTTTTATACACAAACAGAAAAGTCGGGTTTACTGGTCCCTGAAGGCAACAGTACACACTATACTTTAAATTGTTGAATGGAACAAGGTGCTTCAAGGCACATGTATGTGGTCAGCAAATGTCATGGCCAAGGTATTAAAGCCAGGAATTTAAAAAAAAACACAGATAATTTTTTACTTTGGTACCATCTGGTGGTCAGATCAAGAACGGCACCGTAGCGGACCACTTGTCCCACACAGCTAACATGTTTTATCTATTTTGGATTCTCCAGCTCTCTCTATTCTCTCAAAGGCCAGTATTGTCAAGATAGTTTGCAGTTGGTCAGGTGTGTCTGCCAAACTTCAAAGGTGAACTCAAGTTGAATTTACTGTTAAAGTTTAATTCACTTAAGTCAGCAGATCTGCACTTTAC